CTGTCTGTCTCTGTCTCTGTCTCTGTCTCTCTCTCTCTCTCTCTCTCTCTCTCTCTCTCTCTCATCGTACTGGGGACTGAACTCAGGGCTTTGCCATGCCAGACACGTGGCCTACCTTTGAACTATATCACCAACCTAGGAATCTGATTTCCTTTTAGAATATTCTAACATTTTAAAGTATAACAGAGGTTATAAAATAGCAAAAAATCAAAACAATAATTAGAAATTATGAGTAAAGATCCCATTGACAATAAAAACCAAACAGTTAAACTATGTTGAACAAACGTAGGCACTATTTATGACTAATATAAAGAAAAGAACATAGCTTTATTTATACATATTTAAAAGAATTTACTTGTTAGGAGTATACACCAACTTCTAGTATAAAAAGATTTAATACAGCTTAATACAACCAAGTGGTATTTTAAAAAATATTTTATTTAATGTGTATGAGTGTATTGCCTGCACATATATGAGTACATCCTTGTCGTGCAATGCCGTGGAGGTCAGAAGAGGGCTTCAGATTCCCCTGGAACTGGAGTTAAGGATGGTTCGTAGCCTCCATGTAGGTGCTGGGAATTGAACCTGGGTCCTTTGCAAGAGCAGTCATTTCTCTTAACCACTAACCCATCTCTCCAGCCCCATCAAGTGGTATTTTTGTGAAGATAGTTCCAATGATTGTTTAAAATTTTTTTTGTGTGTATGACATGCAAGAATATTGTGTGTGTATGTTTATGTGTGTGTATGTGGGTGAAAATAAGTGTGCAGAAGAGGATGCTGGGTGTCCTACTGTATCTCTCCCTTATTCCCTTGAGACAGGATCTCTCACTGAACCTGTAGGCTGGTGTCCACCAAGCCCCAGAGATCCTCCTGTCTCTGCTCCTTATAGCACTGGGGTTATAGGCACATGTGCAGGCTACAGCAGCTTTTTGATGTGGGTTCTGGGGATCCTAACTCAGGCCTTCATACTTACCCAGCAAGTACTCTTACCCCTGAGCCATCTCTTCATCTCTGACCAATGATTCTTAAGTTCATCTGGGAGAGTAAACACTTAGGGAAATATGAAAATAACAATATCTTTAAATGAAATATGAAGATAGAAAAATTCCTCCTACCAGAGATAAAGATGTTTTATAAAACTTCAGTAACTGAAATTTATGTTATTGGTGACCTTACAGAGGATTTGAAGAACTGGGGAACCAGTGTGAATTTTCCAGTCTATGTGGATAGTGTCTGCTATTCAACAAATGATGCTGAATAAGTGTCTAGTTATCACACCAAAGATACTTTACCTTATATTTGATATAAAAAATAAATTACTGATAAAAATTTCTGTGTCCAAAATTAAATTATTGGGGCTAGAGTGATGGCTCAACAGTTAAGAGCACTGATTACTATTGTAGAGGCTCCAGGCTTAGTTCCCAGCGCTCACATGGTGGCTAACAGTTGTCCTTAACTCCAGTTCCAGGGAATCTGATGCCCTCTCTGGTCTCTGTGGGCATTGCATGACATGGGTGTACTGACACACATGCATGTAAAACACCTATACACATAAAATAAAAATACATAAATCAAAAAATAAAACTCCTTGAAAAGAAATTAAACTATGGAATTACTCAAAGAAAATATAGATGAACCATATTTTTGAGGGTAAAAGGGAACTTTTCTTTGAATGATGTCATAGATATAACAAATGAAAGAATTGATTTGAATGTATTAACATTGTACATGCATGTAAAACACCTATACACATAAAATAAAAATACATAAATCAAAAAATAAAACTCCTTGAAAAGAAATTAAACTATGGAATTACTCAAAGAAAATATAGATGAACCATATTTTTGAGGGTAAAAGGGAACTTTTCTTTGAATGATGTCATAGATATAACAAATGAAAGAATTGATTTGAATGTATTAACATTGTATTTGTCATAAAATTATAATAAAAGACAAAATAATTTTAAAAGGATATGCCTTATGGAAAAGTTTGCATCATATAGTTATGCTTTCCTAACACCTTCCAAGACACATACTTGGAATGAAAGTACATACACACATTTTTCTCTCTTTTCTTCTCTTTCTTCCTCCCTTAAAAACTTCTTGAAAGAACAGCACCAAAAACATTATTAGTATTTATGGTTGAAGAGTAGGATTAAGGTGATTATTTATATATTTATCTATATTTCTGAATATTATACAATTAATATGGACTACTAATATAATTTAATAGAACATAGCAGAATAATTCAAGGAATGTCAAATGAGCTTAAATTTTACTGAGCTAAACTCAGCCTATTTTTATATTCATTTGCTCAAATAACATTTACTGTGAATTTCTATTGTTTTTTTAGGGTGAAGAAGGCGATCAAGGAGAGCTAGGAGAAGTTGGAGCTCAAGGACCTCCAGTAAAGTATTTTAAAAAAATATTTGTTTAGGATTTGAAGCTCTTTTTAATGACTTGAAATATCTTCTCTTTAGTCTTTGGATGAATACCATTGCATCATATTAACTCGATATTCTCTATGTTCCCATCGAGCCAGCGTTAAGCAATCACCACTTTTCCAAAAGAAGAAAGGGTCTCCACTGTACCTTCAAATGCTTTTCTTTTACAGAAAATGTCTATGTATAATTATGTGCAGATTCCAGACCCTCCTAACCTGAAAACAAACTGTGAGCCCAAGACTTGGCAATACAACTCTGTACCATCAGTGCTATCTCACAATACAATGAGAACGTCTTGTATCCCCTGAACACACGGGATTAACATAGCCCATTCCAGCAAGTAATCATTATAATCAGAACATCCTTAGTGCCTCATAAACATGTCTTTTAATAAGTAGTACCATGATTGATGCAATATTACTTAACATAGTTGAACATGAGCATACTTCAATTTAAAAGTTCTTTAGATTAGAAATGATGTTATTTTTTTGTACCACATGAAAGTGCAATTCTTACTCTTTCCCTTGTCTAAATTATGGAAATAATAATTGTAGAAAATTTATTGAACATTGAAGCTTGTCAAAGTATAACCTATGGAACAGGCAAGCTCAGGACTACCACTGACAAGCCAGAGAAGACAAGCACAGGGCTATGTTTACCTATACTGTACTTCTGAAGACCAGCCTTTAGTTTATTATTTGTTTATTTACTTATTTATTTATTTAATGAAGGCTGGGAGCAGTCATACACACCTTTAAAAATTTTTATTTATTTATTATTTTATTTTTTTAAAAATTTTATGTGTATGAGTGCATTACCTGCATGTAACTGCACCCCTGTCATGTAGTGCCCACGGAAGTCAGAAGAGGGCATTGGATCCCCTGGAACTGGAATTACAGATGGTTGTTATCTGCCATGTGGGTGCTGGCAATCAAACCCGGGTCCTCTGGCAGTGCTTTTAACTTCTGAGCTATCTCTCTAGCCCTTAGGACCAGCCTTTAAAAAGGGTCATGGAGCTGTGAAGATTAGTGTTCATCTAGAGTTTGAGGGAAATCAAGCTAAAGGAAATGACTAAGAGAATACAGAAGAAATGTTTTCTTCTTTTTCTGGGTCATATGAGACCTTTAAGGGGACTCTGTGGAGGCCAGATAATTTGCTCTAAAGAGTTGCCTTCCCTGGAAATTTGACAGGAGGCATTAAAAAGCTGAAATCTTAATTTATGACTGGGAGATAGTGCCAAACAGTAGCGTGCATATCCTTTTTTAA